GCAAGTGATATATTTTTGCGAGCTTGACTGGTGTCATGTACCACCTGTAAATCATTTTCATTATATTCTCTCTTAAGGCGTTACATGCCGTAAACTTCATACCTGTGGTCCATAACTGTTCCCAGTCAGCCATCATAATATTATGTCCTACATCTTGTGCCCATTTAATCATAGTTGATTTCACCGTTTCATCCTGAGTATTCCATTTCAACAGCAAGTTATACATTCTTGACAAGTTCTTAGCTTTGGGATCTAACAGTTCTGTTTCCAATTTTGATTTTTCCACCTGGAAGCCAATTTTTTAATCCAAATTATATGCCTCCATTATTTGGTAATAATGGAGCCAGTCTCGCACTCTATTTTTTAGTTTTTCAAAACTGCAGTTTTAATCTGTCTCCCTCTTGTTCCAAAATTTCCCAATATTTCGGCCAATTGGCCTCCATATTGAGCTTTTTCTGAGCCTTCGCTTCCATTGGTGACAACCACCTTGGGGTTTTATTTTCAAGCAAGTCCTTATATCTTATCCAGACATTAAACAGTGCTTTTCTGACAATATGGTTTTTAAACGCTTTATGAGCTTTAACCTTATCATACCACAAATATGCATGCCACCCAAATACATTGTTAAAACCTTCTAGGTCCAGCACGTCAGTATTTTCAAGAAGCAGCCATTCTCTCAGCCAGCAAAACGCGGCTGATTCATAATAAAGTTTAAAGTCTGGCAGGGCAAATCCACCTCTTTCTTTGGCATCGGTTAATATCTTAAATTTTATTTGAGGCTTCTTGCCCTGCCAGACAAATCTAGAAATATCACTCTGCCACTTCTTGAAGCAATCCATTTTATCCAAAATTTGCAATGTTTGAAACAAAAACAGCATCCTTGGCAATACATTCATTTTTATCGTAGCAATTCGGCCTAGCTCAATTTTAATTTCTTCCGATACCACATTATTAATAATAATTTTAGCTTTTTGTTCAGAATAGATCGCTTTGATACTGTTTAAAAATTGTTGACCAACCTCAATACTTTCCAATTTTTTTTCCATAAAAAGCCAAGAAATATTATCAAAGGCTTTCTCCGCATCAATAAACATTAATAATGCATTTCTTTATTCTTTCTAAATGTATTTAGTATTTCTTTTAGCCTCTAATCTTTCCAAAATATCCACTATGTTTCTATTATTATCTTTCATATGTCTTCCAGGCAGAAAGCCTGCTTGGTCTTTATGTATATATTCTGATAGAACTTTTTTCAATCTATTAGCCAGAATATTTGCAAATATTTTATAATCCACATTAAGTAGTGAGATTGGTCTATAATTCTTTACATCTGATCTCTCTTGCTCAGATTTCGGTATCAGAGTTATAAATGCGTCTCTCCAGGTTTCAGGTGCCCTCTCCACTCTCAGTATATTATTACACACCTCTGCCAAAGGCTGTGATGGCTTTGCCTGTTGCTTCCGCCACCCCAGAACAAGATGGCCGCCCAGGAGGGGACAGGTCAGACTTCTTCTCTGATGGCCCAGTGTTCTGAGGCAGGGACTTCTCATTCACCCACATGGTACACGTGGATGAGTAATGCTCCTTTCTGTGTCAACTGAGTTGAAGGGCCCAAAGTTCTCCTCCCCCCAAACACTGAAATTGAAGAGTGCTAGTAAAACAATCCTCTCTGATTCAAGCAAGGCCTGTCACAAGGGAGCTCTTCTTCTGTGCCCTTTCCCCCACAGCAATGTTGGCTTTCCTTCCTTGACCCCATCCCCTCCGCCCTATGGTGTCATGGCATTAGGTGCTGGCCTGCAGCATTATCTTGAGGACAAATCAACACTGACTACCTTCCCTTTGGATTACTGCAACGTGTTATACAAGGAGTTGAATTTGGAAATGGTCTGGAAACCTGAGCTAGTGCTGATAACGACTGCAGGGACGTTGATTGGCACTTGACAGGGGAGTTTAGACAAATTCACACCAACGAACATACACCCACACCCTGTGTGAGGAATGTTAGAAGTGGGTGTGAGATCCTCAAATCTGAACAAAATTGGTGAAGCAGCAGAGAGTTTATCGATTACAAAATAACGTACTTGCAAGATCAGGTGTCCAAAAGCAGACACACCCCAAAATAGTAAGACCGAAGCTTATATCCCTTATACCCGAGGCAGGGTCCCTCCTGTTTCCCCATTGGCTGGGTATGTGCAGGGTTTCAGCCTATCACGTCCGCCCAATTAAAATACTACCCCCCCCTTTGTTGACATCTCCCATTACTCTGAATTTGATGACCATTCCTCCTAATTTCTTTCCTCCTCCTTTGGTCTGTGTCCCTGTGCTTTTGCACATTGACTCAAGCAATAAAGCCACATACTGACAACCCTTAGGCTTAAGCAAGCTCTATATTTGCTGAAGCATGCGTCCATTTCAGCTGTCAGCCAACCTGTTTTGAGGCATTATAACCACGAGTCATTCTAAAGATAAGCTGTTAAGCAAGTCTATGGCTAGCCTGCACCATATTACCACATTCCTAAACCATTTGTTTTCTTCTCAGCTGAGAGATTAAGTGGGTTGGCCGAGGATGTTCTCTTGCAGGTGACATCGACTGTTCTTGTATAAAAGCCACCAGCATTGGCTAAGGCGAAGTCCTTGTCTCTGTGCCTCTGAGTTGAAGGGAAATGGCATTTGGTGGAACTCTGTGGATGCTGATATTATATATGACCATTTTCATTCATTTCTTGCTGTTAGTGTGGGGAGTTTCTTATACTCTTGCCAGGACCCACCTGCCTCGAGGAATGAGCCGTCCTGCACTATTGATACTTTTAAATCTCTTAGTGGGATATGGATTTGTACTGGTAAGTTTATTTTACATATATTACAGGGATGAAGCGACACCTCTATAAAAAGGGCTGCAACATTTGAAATAGTTTAGAGAAAAGGCAAGTAAGAGGCGACGTGATAGAAATTCTTAAGATTATGGAGAAAATAGAGAGAGAAAGGTTTTCCTCCGTCTCTCACGACACTAGAACTTGTAGACAACCCAATGAAGCTGAATGTTGGAAGATTCAGGACAGATAGAAGAAAGGACTTCTTCACACATAATATGTTCAATCCATGGAAGTCACTCTCACAAGAGGCAGTGATGGCTGCCAAGTTGAATAGCTTCCAACGAGAAATAGAGAAATTCATGGAGGCAATAGCTGTGGATGCTTATTAACCAGCTCTGGCTCTAGAGATGGAGGCAGCAATGCTTCTGAACACCAGTTGCTGGAAAACACAGGCGGGGAGAGGGCTCCTGTGCTTGGGTCCAGGTTTGTGGGTTTCCCATTGGGGCACCTGGTTGACAACTGCGAGATGCTGGACTAGATGGGCCATTGTCCTAATCCAGCAGGTTCTGCTTTGAGGCGTTCCCAAAGTAAAGGAAGGATTGAACTCTGATTATGAAAATACACACAGAGGCTTGAACCAGCAAGACTGGTTGCTTATAATAATAATTCCTGTCCGCCCTCCGGCCCAGGTTGTTTTATTCACAAAAGAACTTTTGTCACCGTGTTCGTAAGAACCAATCAGATTTCCTCTGAGCATTTCAACAAACCCCACGTGGGGACAAAGTTAACCTACAAAAACTAATTAAGCATGCACTTCTGGGGTAAACAAAACAGAACTACAAAGGAGTGCATCCAGCAACCCCAGAAGTCACAAACAAGCAATATACATGATAAGAAGGAGGCCAGGCGGACAGGGATCATTATCACCTTCATGTGAGATTTGTTCCATGGCCCTAAGATTAACATCCTAAGATTAACATATCAGAAAAGCTACATCAAAAAAAGCTGCCCACTATCTTTCACAGCCCAGGATGCATGCCTGGCATAGCTGTCAACTTTCAGATTTGAAAATAAGGGATCAGCAGCCAGAATAAGGGATCACAGGTCCCAAAGTAAAGAGCTCAGCTAATCAGTAGGTGGGCTTTTGCCCTTGCAAACAATCGCGGCACCCTCTTTTCATGTTTCAGTCATTTTGCTTTGGTCTCTTGTGGTGTGCTGCCACCCAGTGGCCTTCCTGGCAAATCGCATCAGGTAATTCAGAGGTGGATCCCAACATAACCTTTCCTTGCTTCTCATTCTGTCCCGCTGACCGTTGCTTGGTAAGTGCTGCAGTTACTTTCCATAAGCAGACCTTTCTCCTTTCCTCAGACCAGCTCCGTCAGGGCTATTGCTCACTTCCAAGCCTCAATATTACCACACTGTCACCTCTTTGCTGGGAAGCGCTGAGCAAAAGCGAGTCCCCAGGCAACGCGGCCGATTTGATCTGCACAAGGGATGCAAGCTCCACCCCCCAGTCATTCTTAGACTCCTTATTGGGTGAGCAACACAGCCAAGCAACACAGTTGGAGCCTCCCTCCTCCCTGGCCGGCAGGGAGGGAGGGAGAGGAGCTGCTTCCTTTGAAACCTGGGAAATTTAAGGGACATCATCAATCCAGGACAGCAGCGGGAAGCGGCGCTGGGATAAGGGAGTTTCCCGCCAAATAAGGGACGGTTGACAGCTGTGACGCCTGGCAAAGCAACTGGCAGCTGGGCTCTGTACGCAAGCAGAGAGAAATGGACAGTAGAGGAAATGGCCAGAGATGCAGTGGGTTGTGGGATTTGATCAGAAATTACTGTCAATGAATTAAACCCAATCAACACCATGCTTTCACAGCTGACACAATGGCTTGATGCATATTTTATAATTCCTCATAGTAATCCCATCTGATCCCCACACTCTGGATATTTGCACTCCTACACTGCTTAGGTTCTTATGCACTCCAGTGGATTTATCCTGAGTAGTACTAGCACTGAATACCCCCAATTTGTGTTGCATCTTAAGGTTTGAAATAACAGGAAGTGTACTAGGAAAGGGGAGTGGGCAGGGGCTTCACTTCTGTGCTGCTCAAAGAAAATAATTTTCCATCCCAAGAGGAAGGAAAGGATAAACAGCGGTCATCTCCCATGCACAGTTTCTGTTCCATAGGCAATACATATATGCAATACATATACCTAATGCTGATTAAAAATGCTAAATGTTTTGGTTTAAACAGGGAGGAATTCTGGAAAAACTGGGCATCTTCCATAGATATTCCATACTCAGGATCCTAAACCTATTAATTCCAGAAGTGAAGGACCCAAAAATGATCACAAGGGATCTGGTTTTTGATGGGGTGCCTGTGCGGCTGTACTGGCCCAAGACATCACCTGCTGGGAACAGGAAAGGAATCATCTTTCTTCATGGAGGGGTTGCACTATTTGCAAGCATCCGTAAGTTCTTTGAAATGTTTCACTTTGTTGTTTGTGGAGAATTTGGGGTGATACTTTAATGTAAAGGTCATGAAATGTTTGCTATGGAGGGGTGGGGGTGGTTTGTGCTGCCTCTGGATTTTTATTTTTATCTTTATGAATACTGCTACAAACGTTGGGTACCATCTCCACTCTCTGCCAAACCAGTAGGATGGGGTGATGAGAATTGTAGTTTAAGAACAGTTGTAGACCCAAGCTTGGGAAACACCGCTCTAAAGACACTCTTTTCCTGAAAACTCACCCCCCCATTGCCATGAGTCTGACAACCTCTTTCTGCTCAGGCCCAAGAATTCCTCGCATATGTGCCACCAGCCCCTTTGTCATGTTAAGGCCTCTATCCAAGTGAGGCACTGACTTGGAAAGTGTTTTTTCCGCTGGCCTCCAATCTTCCCTTCAATACTCCAAATCAGGCATAGGCAAACTCTGGCCCTCCAGATGTTTGGGGCGACAATTCCCATATCCCTAGCTAACAGGACCAGTGATCAGGGAGGATGGGAATTGTAGTCCCAAACATCTGGAGGGCCGGAGTTTGCCTATGCCTGCTCCAAATAATAATCAAAATCCGACCACTTACTAATTTCTAAGGTTTAGGGCGGTCTCCCCCCAAATCTATAACAATACAAAGAATAACAACAAACAATGTCAATAACCTGTGTCTACACACAGTTTAAAAGGCCATCTATTGGTTAATTAGCCAAAAGCACTTGACGATATGAAACGAAGGCGCCAGGTGAGTCTCCCGGGGGAGAGCATTCCACAAACGGGGAGCCACAACAGTTCTGGGCTTGGGCCCAGAAACAAATTGGCAGCCAATGCAGTCACACCAGGATTGGCATTATATGCTCAAACCACGGTGGGCAACCTGGCTGCTGAATTCTGCACCAGCTGAAGTTTCTGAACTGTAGGCAGCTTAACATGGCAGGATGGGATTGTGTGGTAAGAAAACAGGGCTGAGCCTTCCTGTTGCAGAGATGTCTGGTTCTGTATTAATTCCTAATGTCAAGGTCAATGAAAATTGCCAAAGAAGGTACAGTGGTGCCTCGCAAGACGAAATTAATCCGTTCCGCGAGTGTCTTCGTCTAGCGGTTTTTTCGTCTTGCGAAGCAACCCTATTAGCGGCTTAGCGGATTAGCGCTATTAGCGGTTTAGCGGCTATTAAAGGCTTAGCGGCTTAGCTGCTAAAAGGCTATTAGCGGATTAGCGGCTTAGAAAAAAGGGGGGGGCAAAAAAAAACCTCAAGACTCGCAAGACATTTTCGTCTTGCAAAGCAAGCCCATAGGGAAATTCGTCCTGCGAAGCAACTCAAAAACGGAAAACCCTTTCGTCTAGCGGGTTTTCCGTCTTGCGAGACATTCGTCTTGCGGGGCACCACTGTATTTGTGCTTCGCACTTCAATGGACTTCTATGAAAGGTCTTCCAGAGATGGTCAGAATTAATTTGAAAGAAGCCCAAAAATGTGGTCTGAGGTTTGTTTGGTCCTGTTCTGACTTATTCACGTATTTATACGTTCATTCTGCATGGAGGGAGTCCATGGTCATCTCAAGCAGGGCTTGTTCCCACAGCTGTGCAGCACTGGAGTCAAAGGCATCTTTCCCGGCCAGCCTTTAGCTAGCCAGTCCAAAATGGATCCCAGTCTTTGTTCTTCCTAGCACACCTTGCTTTAAAAGTATGGATTTTTTGGTTCTATTCTGAGTTTTACCCATTGAAACTGTTGATCAGGAGGGAACAAAATGTACATAATGGTTTTCAACTAGTGATGCCCCATTTATAAAGGGTTCAGTTCAACTTAGTTGTTGCCAAAGGAGACTCGTTAAAGCTTATGTGCCTTTTTCCAGGAACTTCTGCAAGGATCTGCCATTCGCTTGCCCACGGAACCGACTCAGTGGTTATGTGTGTTGAGTAAGTATCTTCACGCTTCAGTTTCTAACCCTTCCACATGAGCCCAGAAAATGGCTGATTTTGCCAACATCGTGAATTTGCCAACCTTTAGAATGGGTGTTCACCTTTGTATTTTGATTTTTATGCCTTTGGACCCAATCCCTCTGGCTTTAAGCATAAGAAGCTGGATCAGGCCAAAGGGGGCCCAACATCCTGTTCTCACGGTGGCCAACCAAATATCCCAATGAAAAGCCCACAAGCTGGACCCAGACACAGGAGCACTACTCCCAGTTGCAATGTGCATCATCTGGTATTCAGAAGCATTACTGCCTGTGATAGTGGAGATGGCCCATCCGCCTTGTGACTAGTATTCATGGATAACCTTATCCACCATGAGAGGCTGATATGGCTTCTCAATCTATGCCAGTTCTATCTGTTGCGATTATCTCTATCCTGCCTTTCAGGACAAAACTCCTTCCAAGGCATCATATAAGGAACATTAAACTACTTTTACATAAACTTGTTAAACGTTTTTGTCCCTCTCTCTTAACTCTAGAATATGTGGACATTCAATGAAGCTGAATGCTAGACGATTCACCTAAAAGAAAGTACTTCTTTACGCAGTGTGTAGTTAAGCTGTGGAACTCGTTCCCTCAGGAGGCAATGATGGCCTCCAACTTGGGTGGCTTTAAAAGAGGATTAAACAAATGCACACGGTATAAGACTACCAGTGGCTACTAGCCATGATGGCTATAGCCTGCCTTTGCAGTTGGAGACAGTATCCTTCTGAATGCCAGTTGCTGGAAGCTGTGGGAGGGAAGAGTACCACACTACTCATGTTCTGATTGTGAGTTTCTCCAATGATTGACCACTGGCCACTGAGAACAGGATGTGAACTAGCATTATATTATCATGGAAAACCTCAGGCACTGGGGCTCAATGCTCCACTCCAGGCCTCTTCAGTTCTCCCTGAAGAGCCAGTGTGGTGTAGTGGTTAAGAGCGGTGGACTCGTAATCTGGGTGAACTGGGTTCGATTCCCTGCTCATCCACATGCAGCTGCTGGGTGACCTTGGGCTAGTCACACTTCTTTGAAGTCTCTCAGCCCCACTCACCTCACAGAGTGTTTGTTGTGGAGGAGGAAGGGAAAGGAGAATGGTAGCCGCTTTGAGACTCCTTAGGGTAGTGATAAAGCAGGATATCAAATCCAAACTCTTCTTCTTCTTCCCTCTGAAATCACCGCAGACCCCCACCTCTGCACCATTGCCCCTCTTTTGCATCCTCCGTGAGTGGCATCTGCCTGACTGGAATTTGTCTTGCTTGCGTGAAGGAAGGGGTGCCAACCTGAGTAAATATTGCCACCCCCGGTAAGTCCCATATTGCATAAATGATCACATGACGTGGAGCACATAACCATTTGAATGGAAATGCCAGTATGCTTAGGGGGACCAGTCTCCTTGGGGGTGCTGAAGGTACCTCAGCCCCAAGTATGATGTCAATGTTGATGATATCTTGTTTTTTCTTTAGATTTCGTTTAGCTCCTGAGCATCCGTATCCAGTCCCTGTACAGGACTGTTTAACTGCTGTAATACATTTTATGAAGAATGCAAAGGAATACGGAGTGGACCCCAACTGCATTGCCATTGTTGGGGAGAGTAGTGGAGGCACTTTTGCTGCAGCCATTTGCCAAGAACTGGTGACCAGAGAGGACCTCCCAAGAGTGCGAGCTCAGGTCCTGATCTACCCATTTCTACAAGCAGTGGACTTTGATTTGCCATCCTATCAGCAAAACCAATCAGTTCCTCCCTTGTTCAGGAAACGAGGGGTTAAATTGGGTATGACATATCTCACTGGGAAGACAATGAATGTAGATGGAGTTCTGAAACGCGCCCATGTCCCTCCTGATTTGAGGGAGAAATATCAAAAATGGATAAGTGCTGATAACATTCCGGAAGAATTTAAAGCTAGGGCCTATGTTCCTGTAGAACCTGCTGCATTTTCAGAAGAACTTTATGAACAAGTTAAAAGAGGTACTGAGACAATGTTTGCCCCCCTTCTAGCAGAGGATGACATAATCCGCCAGCTCCCGGAGGCTTTCATTCTAACCTGTGAATATGATTTTCTTCGGGACGATGGGCTGTTGTACAAGAAGCGGTTAGAGGACCACGGTGTGCCAGTGACATGGTATCATGTTCAAGATGGATTTCATGGAATAATGACCATGGCTGGTTTGAAGGCAATTGAATATCCGAGCACACAGAAATGTTTGCAGAATGTAATACAGTTCTTAAAAGGTTTATAGAAATGAATGACATTCTTTGTCTTCCTATGGCAGTCTTCCCCTTCTGTGGAGGGAAATATTGTTCCTCATTGTGTCAATCCTGAAGTAAAAAGAAAAAATCTGATCAAAAATTCCACTCTGTTTAATTTATTAAAATCACCATGGGCTCTATAAATACATAAGCAAAGCCCTACTGGATCAAGCCATTGGCTCACTTCACGCAGCATCTTGTTCTCTTTATGTTACATATTTTTAAAATTTATTTTCATACAATTTAACAAATTCAATTCAGTTTCAATACAATATTCCCTCAACATTTTGACTCCTCATCCTTACTTCCATGATATTTCTGTTCAAATCCTTTGTCTACTAAATGTAATACTCATTTCTATAACAAATATCCAACATTAGATTCCTTTATCATTCTCCTTCCTTTGCTTATGTTTCCAGTCCAGCCTGTGTTTTCATTTGACTATAATATTTTCTCAGATATTCTGAAAAGGATCTCCACTCCTCCACAAGCATTTTGTCCTTTGGGTTTCTTATTTTCGCCTTCTCCATATAGTCCAATAGTTTTAAAGTCCACTGCTCTTTTGTTGAAACTTCTTCATCACATTTTTTTATTGATTTTCCAGATTTTAACCCAATTATTAAAATTATAACAAATTAATACAATTCTGTGTAAGTGCCTTCCTGCGTGCCGTCCTTGATCCGTCCTTATCTTCCCATGTTACTGACTGCGTTTACATACTCTTATTGAAGTAAATAGTATAACAGACCCTAAGGATTGCCACACCCCTTGCTACTGGTTTGGGAGTCTTCTCTTTCTAGAAGATCTCTCCCCTCCTGACTAGAATGAGACCCATGTAAGCTGTATCCACACAGCTTCTACTTCTCCTGGCTCAAAGTCAGCCCTCCAGCTAGCCCCTGGCATAAAACTCTCCCAAGACACTCAAACCAAGCCCAGTCTAAAAACTCCCTCAGAAACTGCTCCTTTTATTTTTCTCCTCCCACTCTGCTTAGTACTCATTCAGAGAGGCTCCAGCCCTCTGGTGGAATTCTGAGGGACTGCATCACCAAACTCTGGTCTGGCTTTGCTGTCCACCACAGAGGTACTTAGCAGGGGTCGGCAAACTTTTTCCGCAGGGGGCCAGTCCACTGTCCCTCAGACCATGTGGTGGGCCGGACTATATTTTGAGGGGGGGATGAACAAATTCCTATGCCCCACAAATAACCCAGAAATGCAATTTAAATAAAAGGACACATTCTACTCATGTAAAAACATGCTGGTTCCCAGACCGTCTGCGGGCCGGATTTAGAAAACCTCATTGGGGGAGAGGGGAGGGTGGGAAAAAAGCTTTGCAGAGGGATCAAGAGGCGAGAAACTGGAGTCTGGTCCTTCTACAGGTTGGGAAAAGCAGGGTAGGGGGTGGGTAAAAGGTAAAGGTAAAGGGACCCCTGACCATTAGGTCCAGTCGTGACTGACTCTGGGGTTGCGGTGCTCATCTCGCTTTACTGGTCGAGGGAGCCGGCGTACAGCTTCCGGGTCATGTGACCAGCATGACTAAGCCGCTTCTGGCGAACCAGAGCAGCGCACAGAAACACCTTTTACCTTCCCGCTGGAGTGATACCTATTTATCTACTTGCACTTTGGCGTGCTTTCGAACTGCTAGGTTGGCAGGAGCAGGGACCGAGCAACGGGAGCTCACCCCGTCGCGGGGATTCGAACCACCCACCTTCTGATTGGCAAGTCCTAGGCTCTGTGGTTTAACCCACAGCGCCACCCGCGTCCCTTATAGAGGGTGGGAGGCTGGCCCAAATCTGAAAACGCGATGCTACTGACCCTTAGAGCAGCTTGTTATTGGTCCTGGGGAAGGCTGAGAGGAGGCTGGGAGGGTAAACGGGGAACTTTCCTTGGGCAAAGCCAGTTTGAAGAAGAGTCTGCCTGCGCCCGGCAGGCAAGGAAAGGGGGTGGGAGTGGAAGCGCCCAAACACAGACACAAGGCTTAATTTTTATTATTAGGAGGCATCCGGGGCGTAGGAAGGGGGGTGCGGTGGCGGCAGCCCGCCCTGGGTGTCATCCCTGAGGTGGGGTGACAAAAAGGCACACGGCAGGGGGCTCGCCCTGCTGCCCCATGTGCAGCGGCTCGAGTTGCCGCCACTGCCCACAGCAGATCACCGCGCGCCCCCCAGCTCGCCCCGCCCCCCCAGGTGCACGGCATGGCTGCTGCTCCGGGCATCTGTGCAGCTAACTCCACCACTGACTGAAGTTTTTGCCCGGAAGCGACGGGCGAGTTTCCAGGTCAGTGTAAAAATGCTCTGAAATGCTGCTGTTTGATTTACATTATCCTCTCTTTGAGAGGCCTCTTTCCCTCTGCCCCCACTCTCTATCTCCAAATCCCCGGGCAGGTTGAAATAGTTATGCCAGGCATAGGCAAACTTGGCCTTCCAGCTGTTTTGGGAGTACAACTCCCATCATCCCTAGCTAACAGGACCAGTGGTCAGGGATGATGGGAACTCTAGTCTCAAAACATCTGGAGGGCCCAGTTTGCCTATGCCCGAGTTATGCTTTACCAGCCTTTTGCTACACTACTCCTTGTCGTCCATACAGGGTAATCAAAACAAAAATAACAAGGTAAATTGGCTATAATCCCAGCAATTAATCTGTGTTTTTGTTTTAATTGTGGAGTTATATACAATGGCAAGGGCAATTTTATTCTGGTAAATATACGTTGCTAGAAAGCTAATTACTTTGTACCAGGTTTCCTTTCAACATCCCATTAATTTGACTTTCTGCCTTATTGCCTATGCACCTCTAGGAGCCATACAGCTCCGCTGCTCCTGGGACTTGTTAAGTTGTGGGCGAACATATCAGACGACACAGCAATTCTTCCAAAGCAGCTCTTTATTTGTAACCTGGAACAGAACTGAGCTGAGGAGCTCAAGTCAGCCTGCTTATATAGAGCTCCACTAGAATGCAACAGTAACCATTTTCTGTAACTAGCCAATCACTGAACGTCATTTTCGATCCTTCATTTGCATACAAACTATCCAATCACTGAACGTCACTTTCGATACTTCATTTGCATAACTATCTACAGTATCCCCCTGCTGGCCCAGGGTGAGAACTTCAGTACATAACAGGACTCCCCTCTCCCTTTGGGCGTACTTGTCTGCAGCGGCGGAGGAAGCCGCTTGGGCACCTGGGGTGGCGTGTTCAGGAGCCTGTTTCCTCCCACTCAACCGCCCTACATCTGGGGGAGAGGCAGCAGGCGGACCGTTTGGGCAGCGCAAAGCCTGCGAGACGCATGACTTGGGAGCACTGCAGGTGCCATGATGAGTGCCGCCCGGTATTTTGTCACCCCCTCAGTGGTGACACCCGGGGCGGCTCCTCGCCTTCCTTGTCAGCTCCAGGCATCCTGCTGCCACTGGATAGAAAGACGGAGGGGGACAGAAAGAAGCAGCCTGCTGCAGATGGAGGGAAGTGCTGAGGAAGCAGGGGGAAAGGAGAGCAAATGGAGAAAGAGGAACGGGGTGGGGTTGGGGGGAGGACGAATAAATGCTGGCCTGCAGCTTTATCTTGATCTCAGAATTAACACTGGCAACCTTCCATTTGGATTTCTGCAATGTGTTATGCAAGGAGTTGAATTCTGAAACTTCAGTTAGTACCAATAGTGACTCTTGGGACATAGATTGGCACTTGGCAACAGATCCATATCTCATTTGGGCCTGGGTAGATCCCAGTCTGTTTTCAGGTGTGCATGTCTGATCTGAATAGGCCCACGTGCGGAACTCTTTCAGGTATCATGGCCCTAATTTGTGAAGGGTATAGATACCCTTGGGACACGGGTGGCGCTGTGGGTTAAACCACAGAGCCGATCAGAAGGTCGGCGGTTCGAATCCCTGCAACAGGGTGAGCTCCTGTTGCTCAGTCCCTGCTCCTGTCAACCTAGCAGTTCGAAAGCACGTCAAAGTGCAAGTAGATAAATAGGGACCGCTCTGGCGGGAAGGTAAAAGGCGTTTCCGTGCGCTGCTCTGGTTCGCCAGAAGCGGCTTAGTCATGCTGGTCACATGACCCGGAAGTTGTACGCCGGCTCCCTCGACCAGTAAAGCGAGATGAGCGCCGCAACCCCAGAGTCAGCCACGACTAGACCTAATGGTCAGGGGTCCCTTTACCTTTTTTATAGACACCCTTGCCCTTCCCAGCTGGACCGTAGGATGGTGGGTCCTTCTCTGGAAGCCCCCTGCAGATAGGATGCAGCAGAGGGCTGCCCTGACCACCCACTTCTTAACACCTGCTCTTGATATACTGCTTGCACCTGTTTGTTCACTGACTTATTGGCCTGAATGACATTTCAAGGTTCTCCTTGGCAGCTCAAAGTTTGAATTCAAGTGATCAGAGGATGGTGAGATCCAACGGTATCTTCTTGCTTGTTGGCCTGATATGGAGAGAGTAGCATAATGTCTTGCCTTTTGTGTGTCCGGGTATCTGGGTTTGACTATAATTCTGTCTAATGTGGGTATAATGAAATGGACCCATTGCACTCCAAAGGACTTGGCTTAGCTTTTTGCACAGATGTTTCTCGTTGCTAAATCTTCAAACTCAAGCAGATATTATGTAGCAACATCTGCCTGGAGTTATGATGTGACAATTTTGGGACTTCACATTGAGAAAGAGAGAGAGAGAGGGAGGGAGGGAGGGATATTTATTTTTAATATCTTCTGCATATTCAAATTAACTTAATTTATTCTTCTACTTTAAATATATACTCTTTTGAAACTGCAGGTTGTAACAATAATCCTGCCAATGTTCTTATCTGTTTACAATGTATCTGTAAATATTCAATAAACCATTTTCATTCTTTTATAAAAAGTTTGTTATCTGGGTTTTTTATTTTTCTGGTAAGTTTTGCCATTTCTGCATATTCCTTAAGTTTTCTGTATCCATTCTTCCTTTGCTGGGACTTCTACTTCTTTCCATTTTGGGGCAAGTAGCATTATTGCTGCTGTAGTAGCATACACGAACAAGTTTCTATACAGTTTAGGTAGTTCTGTCCCTATAATTCCCAAAAGGAAAGCTTCTGGGCTTTTTACAAACATCATTTTAAACATCCTTTTCTATTCCTGATATATCATTTCCCAGTAAGCTTTAACCTTACTACAAGACCACCACATGATAAAAAGAACCTTCTTTCTCTTTACATTTCCAACACTTATTTGATTTAGATTTATACATTTTTGCCATTTTTGCCAGTGGTTAGATACCATTGATAGATCGTTTTCTCTTAAACCATAACATGCTATAAATTTTATATCCATATTTCACAATCGTCCCCATGCTTCCATGTCTATATTATGACCAATTTCTATTGCACAATGTATCATTGGGGATTTTACTTCCTCATCCTTTGTCTCCCATTCCAATAATATTTTATAAATTATAGACAGCACTTTTACATTCCATTCCAACAGGTCTCTCTCCAGTTGTGATATTTGTTCCCCAGACCCTTGTAGCCTATCTTTCTTAAATACTCCATTCAAATGATGATATTGTATCCATGTTGTTAGTTTTCCTGATAATTCCTTATTTTTTATAAATTTATACTTTCCTCCCACTTGTTTTAACAAATTTTTGTAAGTTGTCCACCATTCTATCATATTGTAATCCTTTTATGTGAACCGCCCTGAGACCTCTGGGTATAGGGTGGTATATAAATTCAATTATTATTAATAATAATAATATTCTTTTTCTTTACCTCTATAATTTCCAACATTGAGAGCCAAAGAGGTTCCCCTCTAATAAATGCTTCTATTTATCCCATATTCTATACAATTCCCCCCCCTAATTATATGATTTATAAATCCTTTATGTACTTTCACCTTTTCATACCATAATGAAGCGTGCCAACCAAAAATATTATCATGGCCTTCTAAGTCTAGAATATGTGAATTCTCTAATGTTATCCATTCCTTCAACCAAGAAAGTCAGGATGCTTCCATTTTGTATCATTGCAAATGACCAATGGGTCCAACAGCAGAGGAAGCTTTTATAAATAAATGAATGAACTAAATCCCATTGTATTTCAACTCCCTCTTTGTATCAGTTCAGCAAGAGGCCATCAATGGGTCCAACAGTAGAGGAAGCAGAGGAAGCTTTTATAAATAAATAAATGGACTTTATAAATGAAAAGTGGAGTTATATGAGCAATAGACTGGGTGGGATTGGCTCCCATTGGTCAGCCTGCACAGCGCCAAACCTATTTCCTCACCACACTGTTCTGGAAAGTTGCAGTGACCCTTCTGTTGGGAGGATGCCATTGCAGTGCAAGCCAGCTCCACCTGCATTGATGTGCAGTCCCTTTTAATTACCCCTGATAAACTCCTCAGGGAGGGAAGAGGCACAATGATTTTGTGTGGGAGGGCAGGCAAACTCCTATGCACGACTTCCCTTGGGAGGAGAAGATAGGCAAATTCACACCCACCAATGCGTATCCACACCCTGTGCGAGGAACAACAGTGTCTTTCAGGAATCCAGGATAGCTGCAATGTTTTACTCAATTACTAAACTATTTCTTTTCTTCTCAACTGAGAATTATATGGGTTGGCCTAGGCTCTTCTTTTCCACATGGCATAGATTGTTGTCCTATAAAAGCCACCAGCATTGGCCAAGGCGAAGTCCTTGTCTCTGTGCCTCTGAGTTTAAGGGAAATGGCGTTTGGTGAAACTCTGTGGATGCTGATATTATATACAACTATTTTCATTCATTTCTTGCTGTTAGTGTGGGGAGTTTCTTATCGTCTTACCAGGACCCACCTGCCTCGAGGACTGTCCTATCGCCCAATAATGCTGCTTCACGATTTCTTAGTGGGATATGGATTGGCACTAGTAAGTATATTTTACATATATCATGGGGATGAAGACACCTCTATGAAAGGGGCTGCAACCCTTTAGAGTCAATAAAATAATTTAGAATAATTCTTTTAAAAAATGCTCATTAATTTGAAAATATTGAAACCAATCTGATACCCATTCTTGAATTTCTTCTAACTTTTTCATTTTACATGCATTACCAGAAAAACACAGTATGTCTCTATAAGTACCCCAATTCTCTTGAATGTTTAATTTCCTTAGTGCACTGGCTTCAATAGGAGATAATCATAAAAGTGATTTCCGTTCAAGTAAATTTTGATATCTGGTCAAAAAAATTTTATCTCCCGCCCTCTGCTGCCCACTACTTTCTTTCTCTTATAAAAGAAAATCACCAAGCTGCTTTATTGCTTCCAGTACCTTAACCACGTTTTTCATCAGGTTTTCCATGAACAATACCACATCATCCGCAAATGCCCTCAGTTCGTAAGTTTGAAGCCTCACTTGGGGGCTTCGTATATCATTTTCTCTAATAACCCCACACAACAGTTCTAAAACCAAAATAAACAATAATGGTGAAAGTAGACAATCTTCTCTTGTTTCCTTGCCAATAATGCATTTTTCTTATAAAATTCTGTTTACTGTTTGCAAATCGCTCTGTATATAATGTATTTATTCCTCTCACAAATTTCTCCCTGAACCCCATTTTATCTAGTAATTCCCACCCCCAACTCCAAGAAGCATTACACTGGGTAACAATTTTTTACTTTTTGAATGTTGTCTAGATTTCTACAACTGATTTAGGGTATTTTTGCACTGCTGAATCAGGAAATGGCATCCGTTTCTCTCCATCAGGTCAGGTTTACTGTAAACTGAATGGTGGGCATTGATAAAGGTAAGTACACGTAAATTGCATGTTGCTTCGCCATTTTTCAAACTTCAGGGCTTGAACTTCCGTTTCTTGGAACTCCTGGAATGCTCAGTCCTTCTTCGTGTAATGCTGAGCACGGTCCCTACTTTCCCACATGCACAGAAAACATGGGTACTTGGTGAAGCCAGACTGTTGTCCCAACAAAAAGTTCACCATCTTCAGGTCAACACAAATAAACCACTTATGCTGATCATAACCAATTTTCTCCAGCACATACTTCACCGCTTCATAGTTCTCCTTCAGTGTACTTGAGTGAGCCAGGGGTATAGAGGCAAACTGGTTGCCGTTGTGTAGCAGAACACATTTCAGTGATCGCTTGCTGCTGTCAATGAACAGTCTCCAATCTTTGGGTTCGTACTGTGGCACTCGAAGCTTGAGCAGAAGCTGCGCAATATCTGCACAGTACACCACGTCTTTCTCTTCCGAGAAAAAACGGAGGTACTCTTGATGCCTGTTGCGGAAGAAGCTGATGCAAGCACTGTCAGAGAGGTTTTTTTCCTTCAATCTGGATGCCAACAGTTTGGCAGAGTCCTTTACAAGCTGAGGTCGCGAACTAGATCATTCAATTCCTTTTGCGAAAATGGATGTGGGAGCATCATCTTCAAGAACCACTTCTTCTTCTTCATGTCCTTCAACACTGGAGGCATCTTCGTCACTAATGTCAGGAAGATCTCCGAAGATAGGCACTGGAATTTCATCACAATGAGCTACAGGTCGATGTGCTGATTGAAGAGCAGGATACTTGAGGCTGCTCCAGTTCTTTCTGTTGATCCCAGTGGCACCAATTTATGGAAGATTTCGAGGTTTTATGACTTCAAACTGATCCCCTTTCGACATAATCACCCAGAACTATTGGACCTGAATACTTCTTGTCATTAAAATAATCATTTCCAATCAAAACAATTATTCGACATGGCATTTTACCCCCACCAACTTCTTCTAAAATGCTCCACACAAGCGTACATGTGAACAAAAACATTAAAAAATGACATGTGGCCATAGCTCAAAAACTTGACCTGATTGAGCAAAACCAATGTGATTTTTGGATTCAGCGCATCAGATTCATCCTAAATCAACTAAAAAAACGCAGACAACAAATTTGTTGTTGACCAGTGAATTATCAAACACTTTCTCTACATCTAGAAAAACCATGGGTAATTGCTAATCATTTCTTTTTTCAAAATATTCAGTAGCATTTAATGCAATTGCAACATTATCTTTTAACTGCCTCATCGGCAGAAATGCTGTCTAGTCTTCATGTATTAAGTTTCCTAACACTTGTTTGAGCCTTCTTGCTAATATTGCCGCAAACCATTTATAATTACAATTAAGCAAAGTAATAGGTCTATAATTATTGACTTGGGCTGGGTCATGATCTTGTTTTGCTATCAATGTGATATTGGCATACTCATAATAATTTTATTATTTATATCTCGCCCATCTGGTTGGGTTTACTCAGCCACTCTGGGTGGCTTACAGCATATATAAGCATAATAAAACATCAAACATTAACAAACAGAATATCTTATACAGACTAAAATAAACCTATAAATCAATATAAAATAATAATAATAATAATAATAATACCCAAATTAAAATAGCTGCCAATCCCAACAAAACATTTAACCAACCCCAACCCAACAAAAACAAAACAGGGGAACTAAAATTAAAGATTTTAAATTTTTTTAGCCAGTTGCCATATCCGAAGAGTTGTTCCAGCAATGCCCCTCTGGCCTCCCAGCATCCCCTTTTAGCTGTTCAAGGTGAGTCTGGTCCCTGCCCCCTAGGCCAAGGGGAAATGGGCCTTTCAGCAGGGAATGGTCTTCCAAGTGTCAGGTATCTCACCCTGTGTCAAAGTACTGGTCATGATCATTTCTAAAGGCTGGATTAGACGGTCCCAAAATACTTTTTTAAGTATTAAAAAATTGCAAGTGGAAAAATATCTAATGCTAATTATGCATGCTAAATGTTTTGTTTTAAACAGGCAGGAATTCTGGAAAAAATGGGCATCTGCCATAGATATTCCATAATCAGGGCCATGTGCCTATTCATTCCGATAATGAAGGACTCCAAACTGATCATAAAGGACCTGGTTTTTGATGGGGTGCCTGTGAGGGTGTACTGGCCCAAGACATCACCTGCTGGGAACAGGAAAGGAATCATCTTTCTTCATGGAGGTGCTGCGGTGGCTGGAAGCATTCGTAAGTTCTGTGAAATGTGTTTGAAATGGTAGAACCTCTATTTACAACTGCCACCACTCGCAGACATTCTGAGTTGCGACCACAGCAAACCCGGAAGTAACTGGCGGGTTTGCTGCCGTTCACACATGCACAGAAGCGGGCAATTGTCGTCCGTGCCTGCGCACAATGGTGTCTCTCCCAGCGACCCGTTTCGCCATAAGGACGGTGTGGCGATCACACAGGGCCCCCGGACGTTTCACAGTCTATTGACCCTGTGCCACCACTGCGGTTGCTTTCTTCACTGCCACCACCCCGCTTCTCACGGGGACACACGGAGTCCAGACAGTTGTTAACATAAACAAATAATCAAGTTTATTTTTAAGAGCAGGAACAAGCATATGGTTGCAGTTTATTTTCCTCTGGTCAGTTTCCTAATCTTAGTTCCTACAACTTCAAACTGAATTATTCCCAACTATCTATCTAACTCCCTAACAATTCCTCTCACTCTCTCACAATACAACTCAACCCCCACTGCGTATTCCACTTTCTTCCTTCTCCCACACCCAAGCCTCAACTCCCAACTGACAAACCTCAACTCCCAACTCCCAGACCTCAACCGTCAACTCCCAGAGCTCAACTGACTTTTCAAAACCTCCCACTCTATCTTTTACTCCCCCCTCGCATTCTCACTGGCCAATCACCTCACACCCATTTTAACCCTTTCCTTGACACATCCTAGGGGGCAAACGCCACATTCCTCCCCCCTTAAGAAGATTGACTCAGTAGGGATAACCTAACCTAGTTATTCTCCTGATCAATCAGCAGTACATTTTTTTGGCAAATAAACATTTCCTAACCTGTCATTTCACCCTTCACATCACATCTAACATTTGCACATCAAATACTGTGTTCTGGTAAAATATACATATATACAAAAACCTGTTACATGTTAGGTATTCAGTTAACTTTCAACTGCAGGTCTTCTGGACAAAGCATCTGTGACGGTATTCAGGGTCCCTTTCACATTTTTAATCGTAAAATTAAAGTCTTGCAGTGATAGGGCCCACCTCAACAACTTACTGTTGGTCTTCATTGTCCTCAACCACAACAAGGGTGAATGGTCAGTACATAAAGTAAAAGTTCGGCCCCAGATGTACGGCTTCAGCTTCTGTAATGCCCATACAATGGCAAGGCATTCCTTCTCGATGGTCGAATAATGTCTTTCCCTTGGTAGTAGTTTCTTGCTTATGAAGGTGATGGGATGCAGGTCGTCCTTCTCTCCCTGTTGGCACAGCACGGCCCTGATCCCGGCATTAGATGCATCAGTGAAGACGGTGAACTCACGATCATAATCAGGAGCAACAAGGACTGGATTTGATGTCAAGGCCCTTTTTAAGGCATCAAACGCCTGCTGACATGCTGCTGTCCAGTATCTTAATCTATTCAGGATTTTGTCCACCAATCGCTGAAAAGTTGCTGGTGCATTCTTTAAGCCAAAGGGCATTATTTTAAATTCAAACAACCCTAAAGGACTTCTGAACGTAGTTTTCTCCTGGTCCTTAGGGTCCATTTCTACTTGATAGTGTATCACCTCTTGACTTCAAGTCGTGTAGTGCCTCCTTCAGCTAGCAGCATGTAATGACACTGGCTTATAGCTTCGTTCAGGTCATCTAAACGCGGCATTGGATATGCATCCGCTTTAGTGACATGGTTCAGCTTCCTATAATCTAGGCAAAATCTAATAGCTCCATCAGATTTGTCTAATAACACTATGGGTGCTGCCCAGGGACTTTCCGAAGTGGTTATAATCCCTGCCTTCAGCATTGCCCTTATCTCATTGCTAACTTTCCCCACATACTCTCCAGTTATTCTATGTGGGTTGACAGCAATTGGCTTAGCATCTCCAGTGTCAATATGATGTACAACTCCCATGTGTGCACCAACAACGCTATTATGGGCTTGTTGCAAAATCTTTTCTCTATAGGTATGAGGGATTACTAACTGTCTTTTCACTTCTTCATGGTGGGTCAAGGACTTCTCGATATAAAAGGCCCTTGCTCAAACAAAACCATTCTGGGCACTCAGGAGTTAACGACCTCTCCGACTCGGCTGCCTCAAAGTACTTTTGTAACTCAGTATCTTCTTTTTGCTTTTTGACAAAACTTGAGGTTTGACTTTTAGTCAAAGGAAATAAAAAGGTGTCTTTTCTTTCTTCACACTGATCATTCCCTTGCTGTCCTTCAGCATTGTCTGCCTCTGCTACTGTATCCACCCCCTCAGGATTAGGTGACTGTGGGCTCCCTTTTGCTCTGGTAACTATGATAGTACTCTGCACATGTTCTAAAATGTCCCAATCAATGAGCACATGGGCGGGAATTTCTTCCGACAGGGCTACCTGCCACTTCCCTGCCCAGTTTTTGAATCTGACATCTACTTCCGCCACCTTTAGGATTTCTGCTTGTTTCGAAATTCCTTTTAATTTCATTACTTTTCCTGGAATTATGGCATCATCCCTAATTATATCCGGGTGGACTATGGTGACTTGCGATCCTGTGTCCTTTAACCCGAGATATCTTTTTCCGTCTATCCAGATATACTCTCCAGCGTTCTTTAACAAGAGATTATCTTGTTGAATCACATAACAGTGCAGGACTTTGGCCTCTACTACCTCAGCAGACTCAGGCCTAGTTGGCATGTCTGTTTCCTTGACAACCTGGCTAGTTGGGCTCTGCTCCACAGACTGGATACAATGTCTGTTTCTGTGTGGTACGATAACTAGATGTTTCTTTTCCTGTTTTACAATCAAAACGTTTACGACCTAATTTCCCACATCTCCAGCATGAAATGTCTTTGGGTCCTGCATAACTTGTTTTATTTACTTTTCCCTCAGTAAACTCTGTATGGGTGTGTGCCTTCTCATGTGGGCTTCCCTATGAGGGGCTGCCTCTCTTATCGGTTTCTGAGGTAAACTTTCCTTTGGTTTGCTGAAAGTTATTCTTGTTTGTTTCCCAATATCTCCCACCAAATTTTGGCCCATCAAATCCATGGTCTCTGATTTCATTTATTTTATCAGCTAAACCCGCTGCTTCCTCTATTGTCTTGGGGTTTCTTTCTTTTATCAGGTACTTCAATTGGCCATTTATTGTGTCGTAAAATTGCTCCAACGCCATCACTTCTCTAATCTTAGGTACTGTGTCTGCATTCTCTTGCTCTAACCATATTGTGAGGTAAGTTTTTATCTTTGCACCCATCTGCACATAGGTTTCCTCCCTCACCTTTGTCACACTTCTAAATTTTTTCCTCAACTGCTCTGAGGTAATCCCAAAGCGTGTATATGCTAACTGCTTGTACACCTCAAAATTTCGGGATTGTTCCTCAGTCATTTGAGCCTATAATTCGGCCAGAGGACCGCTTATTCTAGCTCTCAAGATCATCATTTTATCTTCCTCTCTTACTTGAAAATCGTGACAGGCTCTCTCGAAGGCTACTAGAAATGCTTCTGGGCTATCCCTATCTCTAAATTCAGGAAAGCGTTTTAAATCTATCTTCATTTGATTTTGCCCATCGGTGTTATTACTATTATTACTATTTTCTAATACCATTAGTTCCAACCGTCTCATCTCTAACTGAAACCGCTGCTGTTCCCTTTCCTGCTCTGCCCTCAATTTTTCTTTTTCCAATTCTTTCTCAAGCCTATTTTTATCAAGCTCTAATTTCAAGTTATATTTTTGTACTAATTTCCACTTTTCAAAATCCTCTGAAAACTGTGGAACTTCTGCTTCAGGTGGGGTTTTAGTCATCTCTTCTATTCTGGTTTCTTCCCCCTGGGGATTCCCATTCTCTTCTCCAGAGCTTTCATGTTGGTTTTCTCTCACTGAGTGCTTAGTCTTCTTGGGTGGCATTATGGTTGAGTCAATATTTTGCACTAATGAAATAAGAGACTTTTACTCTCAGCACTGTTCCTCCCAGCTTGGCTTTCCAAGACCCCGGTCCCCAAAGTATAGCTTTAGGTTTTTCCCTCTAACCTTTCAAGCTTACTTCCTCTGACCCTGAGCCTAAGCCCCCGCCAGAACAGTCTTTTGAGATCTCTTGCTCTTATTGTTATCTCGGCCAAACGGCAATCTGGGGTTTATCCTCAATCACACCCTCAGGCCAGGTAATCACTTCATATATAATAATAATATATTTATACCCTGCCCATCTAGCTGGGTTTCCTTAGCTACTCTGGGGGGCTTCCAATAAAATATTAAAATACAATAGTCCTTCAGATATTAAAAGCTTCCCTAAACAGGGCTGCCTTCAGATGTCTTCTAAAAATCTGGTAGGTGTCTTTTCCTTTGACATCTGGTGGGAGGGCATTCCAAAGGGTGGGCACTACTACAGAGAAGGCCCTCTGCCTGGTTCCCTGTAACTTCGCTTCTTGCAGTGAGGGAACTGCAAGAAGGCCCTCAGTGCTGGACCTCAATGTCCAGGCAGAACTATAGGGGTGGAGATGCTCCTTCAGGTATACTGGATGGAGGCCGGTTAGGGCTTTAAAGGTCAACACCAACACTTTGAATTGTGCTTGGAATCGTACTGGGAACCAATTTTGGTCTTTCAAGACTGGTGTTATGTGGTCTCGGCGGCTGCTCCTAGTCACCAGTCTAGTGGCTGCATTCTGGATTAGTTGTAGTTTCCGGGTCACCTTGAAAGGTAGCCCCACGTAGAGCGCATTGCCGTAGTCCAAGCAGGAGATAACTAGAGCATGCACCACTCTGGCGAGACAGTCTGCGGGCAGGTAGGGTCTCAGCCTGCATTCCAGATGGAGCTGGTAAACAGTTGCCCTGGACGCAGAATTGACCTGTGCCTCCATGGACATTAAAAACAGACATTTATGGAGGACTTCCGGATCAGCGCCATTAGCGAACGGGAGGATTCTCTTCACACGGAGGGAATCGGCTCCGCGAAAATCGGGTCCTGAGCACTGCGGCGAAGCGGGGACCCATAGAAATCGCAGGCGCGGAAGCCTGCGAACGTGGAGACTCAGCGGCCACCCTTTAGCGCCCCCCCAAATCGCGAGGAAGCCTTGTTTTTTGAGGCTTCGGAGCGGAACGGGGGAGAGACGCGGTGCTGTGAGTTGATTGCTGCTTTCGCGGAGCGAAGCCGTGTTGCCGTTGCTGGAGAGCGCTGATTTCTTCCTGGAACATTCGGACTAAAAGATTGATCGTGAGTAGGAGAAATTGGATCTAAAGCTAATGAATTGGACTAAAATTTGAAAGGCTTTATTTGGAACAAAAACAAGGATTAAAATTGACTACTGCGGTGGGAAGTGTAAACAGGAAGTCCGCTTCCCGCCTTGTAAATAGCGTAAAGCATAGAGACTTTGAGCTAAACGTTGGAAATTGATTTGAAAAGAGCTGTTTTCCGACCTGAGAACCTTTGGTGAATCTACCCTTCTGAGAAATAAAAAAGGAAGGGGTTTGCTTTTCTGGACTGTATAAATGTTTAAAGAGTGATTTGTCAGTGAGACGTCTCAGCTGTCAAAATCTGTCAAAGTCAACTGCTGACAGTAAGGTGGATATACTGTGGCCAGCCTCGCTGGAAAAATAACTGGAAAGTTACATTTTGGAACTGTATCCTGATCTTTGTTTATACTTAGTTTCTCTTTCCTTTCCTGTTATTCAATAAGGAAAGTGACTAGTTTGGATGGTGGTAACAGTGTCCACCTAGTGGGACTCCCTGAAATTGCAGCAAAGGAATTTTCCACTGGTAAACAGGAACAGCATAGTTGAATACGGCCTTGACCTTCACATTGTTATGGCAGATGGCAGAGAGAAATTAGACCCGTCAGTTTTGAGATCTGGGAAACCTTGGGGGCATCGAAGGCAATCATCTGCCGGCTTGCCTACGACAGCAACACAAGTTAAGTCCAGTGGAATGTCTGAAGAAATTCTAGCCAGTGCCCTGGCCAAGATTAATGAAACTTTACAACAACTTAGCACAAAGGTTGATGAGACGAATAAGAAGGTCGAAGAAACGAACCAGAAAGTGGACATTGCAAATAAAAAAATTGACTTAAATACAGAAACATTAGACAACTTGGGGAAAAAGGTAAATAGCAATACAGAATCCATTCAGAGACTATTGCAGGACTCAAAGTCCATACAGGAAAAAACTGCTGCTGTGGAATTTAAAGTGGGGCAATTGGAAACTGAGAAGGTACCAGACTTACAGAAAGAGATTGCAGAACATAAGCTGATGCTGTCTATGATCGAACTTAGAGACAAACAATCCAATCTAAGAATTAGAGCTGTTCCTGAACTGGAGAAGGGCACCTTGATAGATTTTCTGACACAAGAATTTGCGGAATTTTGGAAATCGGATTTGAAACAAGAAGATTTCAAGATTGTGAGGGCCTTCAGATTGGGAAAAGGAGGAAAAAAGATTAAAATAAGGGATTGTTTGATTACCCTCCGATCCAAAGAAGAGAGGGATAAAATTCTAGGTTTGCATTATGAGAAACCTTTGACAATTCTGCAATCAAAAGTGGAAATCTTTAAAGATATACCGAAACACCTTTTGGATTTAAGACAAGACTTTGGAGACTTGGTGGCCCTGTTGAGAAAAAATAAGATCCTCTTCAGGTGGGAATTTCCCCAAGGCCTATCCTTTAGCTTTAAAGGAAGAAAAACAAATATAAGATCAGTGGAGGAAAAGAACAAGTTTCTGAGCGCATACGAAGAAGATCTACAGAAAGGATTGGGAAAAGAGCCTGTTGTACCGGATAAGAGTCTGCAAAAAAAAGTGAAACCAACGCCACCGACAGATATAGACAAACTTCTGGGGGCTGTTGGGGGAGAAGGAGAGTAAGTACAAAATGACACTGCAAGTATTAAGTTGGAACATTAATGGCTTAAATTCTTCGGAAAAAAGGGGGAGAGTATTTCATATATTAAAAAAAGAACATTTGGACTTGATTTGTTTACAAGAAACGCACGTGACAAGGCTACATCGGAAAATTTTGATTAATAAAAGATTGGGAGAAGAATTTATTTCATCGGACAATGTGAAAAAAAGAGGAGTAGTACTCTATGCAAAGGAAAGCCTGTCACCAAAATTTCTATTTAAAGATGATCAAGGAAGATATATAGCAATTGAAATTCAGCTTCATGGTCAGAAGTTTTTGATATTAGGTGTTTATGCGCCAAATGAGGGAAAATCAGAATTCTTTTAAAAAACTGCATGAAACCCTATTGGACTATTTGGATTACAATATAATTTTGATGGGAGGCATGAATGGAGTAGTGTCTACAAACATGGATAAAGCCCAAAGACAAACGGTGACGAAAGATGGCAGACTACCAAAGACATTTTTTGAAATGACTGACAATATGGACCTTGTGGATATTTGGAGAATAAAGAACCCCTTGGAAAGAGAAGGAACCTTCTTCTCTGAAGCAAAAATGACATGGACAAGAATAGACCAAATTTGGATAACTAGGGGACTGGCCCCTAAGACAAAAAAAGCGGTAATTTGTCCTAAAATCTGCTCTGACCACAACCCAGTAAAGATGGAAATGATATTAACGCCAATTGGAGCTTTCAGATGGAGGATGAATGACTCCTTGCTCAGGAATGAGGAAATTATTAAAAAGGCCCAGAAAAACCTGAGAGACTACTTTGAGATAAATATGAACACTACGACTGAGAAAAGAGTGATTTGGGATGCAAGTAAAGCGGTGATGAGAGGGTTTCTGATACAACAAAATGCAATTAGGAAAAGACACCAAAATGAGAAGAGAGAAAAATTTTTGGAGAAAATTAAGGATGGAGAAAAAAGACTGAGGGCAAAACCGAATTCACAGGAGATTCTAAAAGAGATAAAGCTATACCAAGTACAATATATGAAACTGATGAATCAGGAAATAGAATGGAAGATTAAACAGATGAGACAAAAGACATTTGAATCGGCAAATAAGTGTGGGAAATTATTGGCATGGCAAATGAAAAAAAGACAAAAGCTTAATACTATCACGAATTTGGTAGTAGAAGGGAAGAACATACAGAATCCTGGGGAGATTCGAAAGTGTTTTCAGAAATATTTTAAACAGTTATATACCCAGGAGACCCAGAAAGAAATAGACATTGATCGGTTCTTGAAAACAAATGGATTACAAAAAGTATCTCAAGAGAGTAAATCAATATTAAACTCTACAATATCTGATCAAGAGGTGGAAGGAGCTATTCAGGACATGAAATTGGGCAAATCTCCAGGGCCAGATGGTCTGACTGCAAAGTATTATAAATCTTTGAAAGAATGGTTAATGCAGCCTTTGAAAGAAGTTTGCAATGAAATACTACGGGGAGGAAAGGCACCCGAGTCGTGGAAAGAAGCATACATTACACTTATACTGAAAACAGAAGTGGAAAAGACACAGCTGAAGAACTACCGTCCCATATCCCTACTTAACGTGGATTACAAAATTTTTGCAGAAATTATGGCTAAAAGATTAAAAAATGTATTGGTGAAAGAAATTCACAAGGACCAAGCGGGCTTTCTCCCGGGGAGACATTTGTCAGACAATACGAGGAATATTATTAATATTTTAGAAAAATTGCAAGTTAATATTAATACTAAAGCAGTTTTAGTATTTGTGGACGCGGAGAAAGCCTTTGATAATATTTCTTGGAATTTTATGAAGAAAAATCTGCAGGGGATGGGGGTAGGTCAAAGTTTTGAAAACGGTATAGGTGCAATTTATTCGGAACAAAAAGCTAAGTTGATTGTAAATAACGTAGTTACAGAAGAATTTAAGATAGAGAAAGGAACAAGACAGGGTTGCCCAATCTCCCCACTGCTTTTTATATCGGTCCTGGAGGTTTTGCTTAACATGATCAGGAAAGACCAATTGGTCAAAGGTATACAACTCGGAGCTAAACAGTACAAATTGAAAGCTTTTGCTGATGATTTAGTTTTGACACTACAGGAGCCAGAATCCAGTACAAAAAGAGTATTGCAATTAATTCAAGAATTTGGTCAAGTAGCAGGTTTTAAATTGAATAAGATGAAAACTAAGGTATTAGAGAAAAATCTTACAGAGATTGAGAAAGAGAGGTTTCAGAAGGAGACAGGATTAACATTAGTTAAGAAAGTGAAATATTTAGGGGTTCATATGACTGCTAAAAATGTGAATTTGTTTAAAGATAATTATGAAAAATGTTGGTTAGAAGTAAAGAAGGATTTGGAAATATGGTCAAAATTGAAGCTATCATTGTTGGGCCGAATTGCTGCGATAAAGATGAATGTATTGCCTAGGATGTTGTTTCTGTTTCAAACATTACAGATTTTGGACAAAATGGACTGTTTCAAGAAATGGCAGAGAGATATTTCGAGATTTGTATGGCAGGGCAAAAAGCCAAGAATAAAATTTAAGATTTTAACTGATGCTAAAGAAAGAGGTGGATTTGCCCTGCCAGACCTTAAACTTTATTATGAATCAGCCGCATTTTGCTGGCTGAAAGATTGGCTGCTTCTTGAAAACACGGACATTTTGGACTTAGAAGGTTTTGACAATGTTTTTGGATGGCATGCATACTTATGGTATGACAAGGTTAAAGTGCATAAGGCCTTTAAGAACCATATTGTCAGGAAAGCACTGTTTAATGTTTGGGTGAGATATAAGGATTTGTTGGAAAGTAAAACACCAAGGTGGCTGTCACCAATGGAGGCTAAGGCTTTGAAAAAAACTAATATGGAGACAAACTGGCCAAAATATTGTGAAATTTTAGAACAAGTTGGAGATAAACTAAAGCTGCAGAGTTTCGACAAACTAAAAACCAAAGTTCGAGACTGGCTTCATTATTATCAAATAAGGGAGGCTTTTAATTCAGATAAAAAGATTGGTTTCCAGGAGGAAAAATCCAAATTGGAAACTGAATTGTTAGATCCTAAAACTAAGAATTTGTCAAGAATGTATAATTTGTTGCTGAAATGGAATACACAGGATGAAATGGTTAAATCTGTTATGATTAAATGGGCACAAGATTTTGGACATAACATTATGTTTGCTGACTGGGAACGGTTATGGACCACAGGTATGAAATTTACGGCTTGTAATGCCTTAAGAGAAAATATAATGAAAATGATCTACAGGTGGTACTTAACCCCAGTCAAGCTAGCAAAAAATTATCATTTGCCCGATAATAAATGTTGGAAATGTAGAGAAAATGAAGGTACATTTTTTCACCTTTGGTGGACGTGCCCAAAGATCAAGGCCTTCTGGGAAATGATATATAATGAATTAAAAAGGTATTGAAATATACTTTTCTGAAGAAACCAGAGGCCTTCCTCCTGGGCATGGTCGGCCAATTGGTGCGAAGGGAAGATAGAACTTTTTTTCATGTATGCGACAGCAGCAGCAAGAATACTCATTGGGAAGTACTGGAAGACACAAGAATTGCCTACCCGAGAAGAATGGCAGATGAAAGTAATGGACTATATGGAATTGGCTGAGATGACCGGCAGAATTCGAGACCAGGGAGAAGGGTCGATGGAAGAAGACTGGAAAAAATTTAAAATATATCTTCAAAAATATTGCAATATAAAAGAATGTTAGAAAGAGGTTGGAAAAAGAATATTAGGTCGTTTTGGCAGATATGATATAATGGATTAAGTAAAAATGAGGTATGGAAATTGATGAAATAGAGGAGGATTAATTACATTATTGAACGTTAAAATAAGTAAATGAAAAGAAGGTTAGAAGGATTTGCTGGAAATACGATTTGAACTAGAATACAAAGCTGGGAGGTGAGAGGAGGTCATGGAAATAAGTGAAGGGGAAAAAAGGTTAGGTAAAGGTTTAATTTTTGTTTTATTTTAATGTAATGTAGTTTTATATTTTTTGTCAAGTTTTTTTTATTGTTTGTTTTTTGTTATATGTCTATTCTATTTTGTATGGTTTTTCTTTTCTTTTTTGTAATCCTAAACTTGGAATAAATATCATTTAAAAAAAAACAACAACAGACATTTATGACACAGCAATATTAGTCATATCCAGTCCTTTTTTTCCTAGAAAAAGAGGTGCCAGTACTCACCATGAAGTTGTTAAGGTAAGTGCCACACTTTTAAACAACAACAACAAAGAGGTGCCAGTACTGCATACCCTTGTGTACCCCCTGGGGGGGGAAGCATTGGTCATATCTGTTAATTTCAACATGTTTACTTTCAGTAGGACTAACTCACAGTGGATTCAACTCACAGTGCTTTCAATGTGAACGACCAAGGAAATGTGTAATGGAGCGTAACAAATAATTGCTCACAGCAGGTTATGTGTGATGTGTTTTTCCCCCCTAGGAACCTCTGAAATGATCTGCCGTTCCATTGCCCACCAAACTGACTCAGTGGTTATGTGTGCTGAGTAAGTATCTTCATGCTTGTTGTAGCAGAAAAAAGAGTATTTCCCCTCAGTTTCTAACCCTTCCACATGAGCCCAGAAAAAAGCTGATTTTGCCAACATGGTGAATTTGCCAACCTTTAGAATGGGTGTTCACCTTTGTATTTTGATTTTTATGCCTTTGGACCCAATCCCTCTGGCTTTAATGATAAGAAGAGCTCTGCTGGATCAGGCCATTAAACTACTTTTACAGAAAAGCACCACATCAACCCATAAAAAGCCATTAGGATTCTTCTCCTAAGGCAAAATGGCCCTGCGGTTGAGAGGGAAAGTGCAGCTGGAGTTAAGGTGAACTTCTCTCCGGCAAATAAGCTCAAGCTGTTCCCAACTGTCCCGTCAGCCACACTTACCATCCAATGAGAGCAGTGGTACATTGGGCAATGGGAGAAGTGTCATTTGCCAGGGCTTCAGAGCCCTTTACAAGGCAAGCCTTCCCGACAGTAATGGACATCATCTCTCCCAATGGCTGCCCTCACTGCCTTAATGCACCTTTGGTGCATGATCTGAAGCCTCCTGGCCAAGGTGGGTGAACTGGAGTTCTTGGCTTTAAGGCCATATGGTTTAAAGTGGGCAGAAAGAGTGGGAAGCACTGATCTCAGGAAGGCATGGTGGGACATACTAGAGGTGATTCAGAACTGGGGTTGTTTTCCTGAGATGGAAAAGGAAATCAAGGAAACATTCAAAATATAGAAGTTGGTTATATTAGGCATGTCATGTGGAAAGTGGCCTGGGGAAATGTGTTTGTCGCTCTCTCTGAACTCTAGAACATGTGGACATTCAATGAAGCTGAATGCTAGAAGATTCAGATAAAAGAAAGTACTTATCCATACAGTGCAAAATTAAACTATGGAACTAATTCCCACAGAAAGCAGAGAAAGCTTCCAATGTGGATGGCTTTGAAAAGGGATTAAATAATTGGGCAGAGTATAAGGCTACCAGTGGCTCCTAGCTATGCTGGCTATAGTCTGCCTCTATGGTCGGAATCAGATTTGACCAGCGGCCACTGAGAATGGGATGCTGAACTAGCATTATATTTGGGTGCAGAGCATCAGCCACAGGGGCTGAATGTTGCACTCTGGGCCACTTCATTTCCCCTCTGACCCCAGACCCCACCCCTGCACCATTGCCCCTCTTTTGCACCATCCTTGAGTGGCATCTGACTGGTGTGAATGTGTCTTGCTTGCTTGGTTGGAGGGTAGAGAAAGGTGTGTGGCTGTGTGTAGGAACCAACCTACTTGTCCAGTGGGAAAGTTCGCATTTGCTTTCCATTTTGCTCTCTGGTCCGCCCACAGCTGACATGTGGCCCCCAGGAAGGTTGCATAGAAAGGAATGTGGCCCTAGGGGTGCCACCCTTGCAATATGCCATTGCAGGAAAATGCTGCAAAGTGTATGATGTGTTATGTACTGAAGTTCTCACCCTGGGCCAGCAGGGGGATACTGTAGATAGTTATGCAAATGAAGGATCGAAAGTGACGTTCAGTGATTGGATAGTTTGTATGCAAATGAAGGATTGAAAGTGACATTCAGTGATTGGCTAGTTACAGAAAATGGTTACTGTTGCATTCTATTGGAGCTCTATATAAGCAGGCTGACCGAGCTCCTCAGTTCAGTTCTGTTCCAGCTTACAAATAAAGAGCTGCTTTGGAAGAATCGCTGTGTCGTCTGATATGTTCGCCCACGACTTAACATGATGAATGCTGATGACATCTTGCCTTCTCTTTAGGTATCGCTTAGCTCCTGAGCATCCGTATCCAGTCCCTGTACTGGACTGTTTAACTGCTGTAATATACTTTATGAAAAATGCAAAGGAATATGGAGTGGACGCCAGCTGCATTGCCATTGCTGGGGAGAGTAGTGGAGGCACTTTTACTGCAGCCATTTGCCAAGAACTGGTGACCAGAGAGGACCTCCCAAGAGTGCGAGCTCAGGTCCTCATTTACCCATTCCTCCAAGGAATGGACTTCAATCTGCCATCCTATCAGCAAAACCATTCAGTTCCTCCTATGTTCCGGAAAAGAACTGTCAAAGTTGGTTTGACATATCTCACTGGGAAGACAATGAATGTAGATGGAGTTCTGAAAGGCGCCCATGTCCCTCCTGATTTGAGAGAGAAATACCAAAAATGGATAAGTGCTGATAACATTCCAGAAGAATTTAAAGCTAGGGGCTATGTTCCTGTAGAACCTGCTCCATTTTCAGAAGAACTTTATGAACAAGTTAAAAGAGGTACTGAGACAATGTTTGCCCCCCTTCTAGCAGAGGATGACATAATCCGCCAGCTCCCGGGGACTTTCATTCTAACCTGTGAATATGATGGATTCCGGGACGATGGGCTGTTGTACAAGAAGCGGTTAGAGGACAATGGTGTGCCAGTGACATGGTATCATGTTCAAGATGGATACCACGGAATAATGGCCTTGGCTGGTTGGGGGCCACTTGCATTCCTGAACACACAGAAATGTTTGCAGAGTGTAATACAGTTCTTAAAAGGTTTATAGAAATGAATGACCTTGTAGGAGTGCAAATATCCAGAGTGTGGGGTCAGGTGGGACTACTATGCACTACTACTATGCATATATAAAATATGCATCAAGTCATTGTATCCACGATGAATGCATTGTGTTGACTGGGTTTAATTCATTGACAATAATTTCTGATCAAATCCCACAACCCTCTGCATCTCTGGCCACTTCCTCTACTGCCCATCTCTCTTGCTTGACAAGTCACTTACACAGCCCAGTTGCTTCGCCGGGCAGGCATCCTGGGTCATCAAAGACAGTGGGCAGTTTCTTTGATGTAGCTTTTCTGATGTTAATCTTAGGATGTTAATCTTATGGCCAGGAAACAGATCTCACCTGAAGGTTATAATGATCGCTGTCTTCCTGGCCATCCTCCTTATCATGTATATTGCTTGTTTATGACCTCAGGGGTTGCCAAATGTACTCCTTTGTAGTTCTGTTTTGTTTACCCCAGAAATATGTGTACTTAATTAGTTTTGGTAGTTTAACTTTGTCCCCATATGGGGTTTGTTGAAATGCTCAGAGGAAATCTGATTGGTTCTTATGAACACTCTGTAAAAGTTCTTTTGTGAATAAAACGACCTGGGCCAAGGGAGATTATTATACTCACCCTTCCCAGAGTCTTGCTGGTTCAAGCCTCTGTGTATTCTTATTAATCAGAGTTCAATCCTTCCTTTACTTTGAGAACACCTCAAGTGGTGCTCCAGGTGAGGCAAACCTAAAAGGGAACCGTGTGAGGGTTTTTTGGGGGGGGAAACCTCAGCGTGTGAGGCAAAGCTAAAAAGAAAACCTCAGCATTTGAGGCACAGCAAAAGGAAACCTCAGCGAAAGGAAACCCCCAGGATTGGACTCTCCTCGGAGCTAGCAACCTGCTATCCCTCGGTCGCGGTGGATCATCTCCTGCAAAACGATTCCCGGACTTAGGATCTCATTTGCTCGGAACGAGCCCCAAAGACGCGCGTCTATTACCCTTCAGGTGAGATCATGAGAAGCAAGCTTTCACATGTGCAGGAAAAGCATAGGAATAATTCTTCCGATAAATTTATTGCTTTATTGTTTAGCGCCCAGCCACGCTTCCCCTGCGGGCCTCTGCAGCTTCTGTTTACGCAGTGTGGCTTTGGAGCGGTCGTAAAGCAATTAGCAGAATTACACAGCATCTGTGTGTCGAAAGGGCAGTAAATATGTCCAAACGTTTCTTCTATCCTAATTTCTCTTTATTGGGAACAAAATAGCGTATTTACAATCCATAACAGCCATCAGAGTGGAGCTGCATTTTCTCTGCGTCCTTCTCTCTCAGTGCAGCGACGCAACAACCTGTTTTCGATTTTCACTCAGCTCACAGCATTCCAAGCTGCTTTCATCACGTCCTGGCGTACTTCCCTTGTACGCGCCTCCTCTCAGGCTCGAGACACAGAAGGTTAACCCTTCACTACACCCAACACCTCCTCTTGCCTTGCGCCTGAGGGGAGAATCGACCCTTGGTCGTCCCAAACCCAGACCTTCGCAAAACTCCCCATGTCTTTGGAAGGGGAGTGGCTTCGTGAACCCATCAGCTAGGTTCTTGGCAGAGGGACAATACTTCAGCGCAACTAATCCCTCCTGAACACTCTGGCACACATTCCAAAAGCGAATGTCTAGGTGTTTAGTTCTAGCCTTGCACTGACCTGACTCTGCCAAACGCAGGCATGGTTGATTGTCTTCGAAAACATGTATCGGTTGACAATCCACTTTGCAGAGTTCCTGCACTAAGCAAGCATAGAACTCTACTTCTCTGCACACCTCTGAAACAGCACTGAACTCAGCCTCAGTGGATGAGAGTGCTATAAGACTTTGCTTCTTGGACCTCCATCCAACTACTGAGTTCCCAAACTTCACCACTAGGCCAGACACAGACTTGCGATCCTCAAGATTAGCCCAATCCGAGTCCACAAAGCAAGTCAGTTTGACTTCTCCTTGTGCTGGTAACCTAAGACAAAAGTCTTTGGTTTCCTGCAAATACCTCAGAACTCTCTTGATGCCATTCCAGGCTTGCACACAAGGGTTTGAAGCTTCCCTGCTGAGCAGATTGACAGCAAATGCTATATCAGGTCTGCTCCACTGGGATAAGTACAACAAACTCCCTAGGGCTGACTGAAACACTTCAATATTTTCGAACGCAGCGCGTTCTACTTGCTGGCTGTCCTTCACAAAACTAGTCTCCATAAGACTCTTCACTCCTGCACAATCACTCATCCGGAATTTCTGAAGCAATTGCTCAATTTTGCCTTTCTGGCTGAGCAAGAAGCTTCCATCCTGTGCACGCTCAACACTGACACCTAGATAGGTTTTGACAGCACCAAGCTGTTTATGCTTGAACCGTTTACCTAGCTCTTTGGCAAACTTCTCTGCCTGTTCATCTGTCTCTGAGAAGAATAACAAGTCATCAACCCAAATCTGCAAATACTCTTGTGTTGCACCTGAACCTCTCAAATAAAAGCAATTATCAGCAACACTTCTTCTGAAACCTAGCTCTTCTAAGGCTTCATTCAGGCACATGTTCCAGTTTCTAGCAGATTGATGTAATCCATAGATGGATTTGTGCAATCTCCACACAACATCCTGCCTCAAGTTCTCAAACCCCGGAGGAGGAATCATGTATAGCTCCTCCTGGAGATCTGAGTTTAGGTAGGCAACATCCACATCAAAGTGGTTTACCTTCCAGCCTCTCTGTGCTGCACAAGCTAAAAGCGTTCTCAGAGTCTCCGCTCGTGACGTTGGCGAATACACCTCCGTGAAGTGTATTCCCTTTCTCTGAGTGAATCCTCGAGCAACTAACCTAGCTTTATACTGTGGCTCTCCAGTGTTAGTGGGTTTCAAGCGGTAAACCCACCTACAACTCACAGCCTGTTTTCCCGGTGGCAACTCTGTGAGTGAGAACACACCTAGATCTTTCATGGACTTCATCTCTTTGTCCATTGCCCTGTGCCACTTACCTGCTTCTTCCTCAGGTAAACTCTGAATATCCTCGAAGGATTCAGGTTCACATCTTGCAGAACCTACCCAGACGCTTGAAGCATCGTACCGATCAGGAGGCCTCCTAGTCCTCGCTGATCTCCTCAGTGTGAATCTTGGTGACCCTGCTGCTTCACTGGGTCCAGCTAAATCATCCTCAACTTCAGTGTCTTCCCCCTCTGACCTGCTGCGCCTCTTGGGCCTTACAGCTGGTCCAGCAGGTGAAGAAGGTTCACTCTTTGGCTCAAACTTGACACTTGCCTGAGGAGGTGTTCTAGGTCCCCCCCCCGAGGGATCCTGAGCTGTCCCTGCCTTGGACTCTGTCCCTGTGGTGGATCCTGTTGCTCTGGACCGTGGCCCCCAGCAACAAGTTCCTCTTCCTCCTCAACGTCTGAGTCATAGAACTGCTGTGAAATCGGTATAGGGAAGCGCGGCCCTACAGATGTTTTGGGACTACAGCTCCCATCATCCCTAGCTCACAGGACCAGTGGTCAGGGATGATGGGAGTTGTGGTCCCAGAACATCTGGGGAGCCGAGTTTGCCTATGCCTGCCCTAACCGCTGACTGTTCCTTCATATAAGGTCAAGTCAGTTTCTTATCTGATAAAGACAGGTGCTTAACCAACAGGTATATAGATATGCTCATGTTCACAGCCGCTAGCTACATTCTGCGTACCTTGCAATGTGTACCTTGCAAAGTTATTGTGGTTAATTTTATCACCCTAAGCGATCAGCTTCGCTTCTATGCCCAGTAGCCTAGCAGGCATGTGTCTGTCTGCCTGTCTGTCTGTTTGTTTGTTTATGAGAGGCAAATAAAGAATAAAAAGGGAATCAATAATTGCTAATGTTAAGGTAAACAATTGCTTAGAAGCATCTTGTGCAAACATGGCCAAGCTATGGATTAATGAAATGTGTGTGCTCAAATAAATGTATGAATAAAACATAAACAACAACAAAAAAGAACTGCTGTGAAATCATGTCTGGATTAGCGTGCAGGCGCTTCCAACCAGCTTGTTCACAGAACTCAGCGCTATTGCTGATAACCAACCTAGACTAGTTTCCACTTGGGTACGCAAACCGCCAGGCCTTTGAGCCAGGCTCATACCCTACAAAGATCATTCTTTTAGATCTTGGCTCACCTTTCTTGTGTAGAGCCTTTGGAATAAGCACCCAAGCCTCACAACCAAACACACGAAGGTAGTGTACCTTAGGCTTCTTTCCATGCAGCAAGAAATATGGCGTATTTCCTACACTAGAGTTGCACACTCTATTCTGCGTATGGACCACAAATCTCCAAGCTTCAGACCAATATTTCCGGGGTAGCCCTGCGTCCCACAGGATCGCAGACACAGCTTCCTCCACCGTCCTGTTCTTTCTCTCTGCAATCCCATTCTGTTGCGGAGAGTAAGGAGCGGTCAGTCTGTGGCTAATCCCCTTCTCCCTAAAGAAATCCTGTAAAGCAGAACCAGTGAATTCAGAACCTCTGCCACTTTGAAAGCCACGCACTCTGGTGGAAAAGGTTACCTCAACTGCGGTGATCCAATCCCTGATCATTTTAGCCGCCTCCCCTTTTGTTTTCAGGGCAAAGGTCCAAGCAGACCTCGAGAAATCATCAACCAGAAGCAGAGAATACTTTGATCCTCCCAGTGACTCAACTGACATGGGTCCACACAAATCTGCATGAATTAACTCAAAGGGTTGTGTGGTCTGCCTCTCTGACTTTGGATATGAGCATGTCACAATTTTCGCTTGTTTACATGCATTGCAATCTAAAAATTTGTCGCAAACATTAAATTTGCACCCTTGTGTCAGCTCTGGTGCTTTCTGAAGATATCTCCAATTCAAATGGGCGAAGCGTTGGTGCCAAATATGCGAACAACCATGGTGGGGCGCCATATTCACACATTGCCCCTTTGCATCTTCGGTGTCATCCTCTCCTGTAGAAAAAGGCACATTTACAGCAAACAAATTGTCTTTAGACTGCACTGTGTACACGTGTTTCCCATCCTTGGAAAACTCACACTTGGTACCTGCAAAAGACACATGAAAACCATCATGTGCAAGTAGATCATGCACACTTAATAAACAGTTAGTTAAACCAGGCACCGCAAAAGCTTTGACTTCATGCTTAAGAAAGGGACAGAAGAAAAAGCCTGTCTCTGTTAGTCTTTTTCTGCTTCCATCCGCGATCATCACAAATCTTTCAGTTTTTTACTGTCCTGCAATTTCTTAAAAGACCACTAGATGGCACCAGCGTGTTTGTGGCACCAGAGTCGATTATTACAGTGAGAAAGTCTTGTTGTTGACATTCCTGGGTCGCCATGGCAACAATCTCCTCGCTACCCCCCTCCTTGGGGCTTCTGCAGATGTTCTCTCTGGTTGTCACGGCAACAGACTCCCCCCGGCAGGGAGACTTGCCCACGACCTTCACAGCTTCCGTAGATGCAACTCTCTCAGTTGCCTTGGAGACCGGACTTGTCTCAGCGTTCCCACACAACTCCGAAGCTCTTATCTGTCTTTGCTGCAGGTGGCCGGCCTTGGCGCCTCCAGCACGGCTAGGCTTCAGCTCTTGGCATAAACAACTCTTGGCAGCTTTTGGAGAAAGAGGCGTCTCTGAGCTTTCACTGCTCACTGCCCCCCCCACTACTCACGGGGCCTCCAGGACGTTTTCATGCACCCCCTCTGATGGGTTAAGGGCTCCCAACTCTTGGCCTCTCTCCTGGCTCCTCACACAGACACGTTGCAGCATCCATACAGCTCCCAGGCTCAGCAAAAGCACCAGCAGCATTGCCAGCAACAGCAACAGTCCCTTCGCCCTCCCGTGGGGGCTCCCAGCTCCTCCCAGCTGTGTATCGGCTCTCAAGAATGTGGCCGGCGCCATCTTGCCTCTCTTTCCTTGGGGCAGCCACGTCTCAGCCCTTGCTTCCCACCCCAGCTCCACAAGCCTCTCGGAGTGATTGCCAAGCGGCCTCTGGCCTTCTTGCACCCAGGACTACTGGCACTAGATGAGCATCTACATTTTCTGCCAAAAAAGCAAGCACACGCTTTTCCACTTCACTTTGCTCTGCAGCCCTCTTAGCCTCTGCTTTCCCAGCTGCGTTCTGTGGGGGCTGGACTACGTCCCATAGCTGCTCCCCCACCAGCAACAGCTCCACTTGAAAGCTCCACTGCAGCCAATTTTGACTAGTCAGTTTCTGACACGGCAGTTTAAACTCAAAGCCTGTGCATGGGGCTGAGCCATTACCTCCCTTCCCTTCTGTTGGCCTTTTGCAAGAGCAGCCGATAATACTCACTCTGCAGCTAAACCGGGCACTCTGGACGACGTGGCTCTCAGCTCCCTCTCCATCAGCCTCCTCCAATCTGCCCTCTGCTCTATTTGAAGCCTTGGCAGTCGATCAAGCTGACGTTCAGTCTTTTAAAGTCTTCAAAGCCCTTTCTTACACTCTTGGCGTTGACCCATAACCTCTTCCGATAGATTTATTGCTTTATTGTTTGGTGCCCAGCCACGCTTCCCCTGTGGGCCTCTGCAGCTTCTGTTTACGCAGTGTGGCTTTGGAGCGGTCGTAAAGCAATTAGCAGAATTACACAGCATCTGTGTGTCGAAAGGGCACTAAATAAGTCCAAACGTTTCTTCTATCCTAATTTCTCTTTATTGGGAACAAAATAGCTTATTTACAATCCATAACAGCCATCAGAGTGGAGCTGCATTTTCTCTGCGTCCTTCTCTCTCAGTGCAGCGACGCAACAACCTGTTTTCGATTTTCACTCAGCTCACAGCATTCCAAGCTGCTTTCGTCACGTCCTGGCGTACTTCCCTTGTACACACCTCCTCTCAGGCTCGAGTCACAGAAGGTTAACCCTTCACTACACCCAACAATAATTTATTATTTTTGCTAGCTCAGGAAGGGCATGATAAGCATTTAGCACCCCAGTAGAAAAATTGTTGTTAGAGATTGCTAGACTGTGCCCCTGGTTTCCAGAGGGGGGTACTTATGACATTAAGAAATGGAATGAGCTGGGAGATGCACTCCATAGACATCCTGAGGCATCTGTACAAGTCTTGCACACCTGGCATTTGTGTAGAGCCGCAGTTGGAAAGCTCTCTAACCCTTTGCTCCAGCCACCAGCTGTCTCTGTGAATGCTCCCACATTGTTGCAACCCCTAGCTGCTTTTAAAAATACCATAATATTGTTCCCTCCATCTCAGCCTCTAGATTTCCAGCCTCTCTCCTCTGAGGTCATGCCAAAGGTAATTCCATTGGCACCTTCCTTTGCCAAAGATTTGCCTGGGTCGAATGTAAATTCCATGCCACCTTCTTTGGTGGACCAATGCCTGCAAGGGGCTCAGACCACAGTGCAAAAATTGACTATTCCAAATATGGCAGAAGGAAGCAGTGAAGAAAAAACAGCTGACACCTTACCATTATTAGCAGTCTCTCCTGTTGTTCAGAATGCACAGGAACAGAGAGCCCATGAATCATTGCCCTTTGCAATTTTTAAAAAATTGAAGCGAAGTGTGACAGAAAATGGCTTGCATGGTATTCTTGATGGGCTAAGAGCAGCCAGTACTTTAATTCCAAACCTTGACGCCTCTGAAGTTTCAATGAAATAATTGGCTTATGAAAATGCTGATTGCAAGACTGCTCTTAAAGCGATGTACCAGAAGCCAGAAACAGATGTTGCTCAAATGAGTAAGCCTTGCCAGAATATTGACACCGAGACTCACAAATCTGCCCTCCTAGCAGCAGCTTTGTCTCCTTCAGTGCATCCTGCTAAAGACAGGCAATGCCACAATGGATGGCCTTCCAGCCTGAGTTTAAATGGGAAAGCAAAGACTGTTGTGCCAGCTGATTGTCAGTCTTTTACTGAAGCTAAATTAGCAGAGCCAGCTATTGCTTCTAACACAGTTGCTTTGAACACACAGTCTCCTGCGACAAATCTGCGCCATGCCGCTAAGGGCAGTGCTGGTTTGAATCTAATGACAGCAGAACTTGCTACTTTTCAGTTCCAGTTCCCTATGGTGGTGTATACAATTATGACATAGCACACAGGTCTGATTCCACCTCAGACAGTGAGACTCATTCTTAATCGCTTTTTGCAGACTGTTTTTTCTCCTTTCCTCCCTGACTTAAAATTCCTAATGAATTTACTTTACAGCAGTTGCAGAGTTTTGGGGTCACTTCATACGCGTGATTCTTTTAATACAATGCTTTCACCTACAGAACTACTTTTTCCCCAGACACTGCTGACAGAATAGTGATTTTAGAGTGGCTACACTCTGAATTGCCTAACACTGGAGTTGATATTGCTGCTTGTTATTTGCTTTTTTCTAAACAGGATCACGAGTCCCTAATGAGTTATTTTCTTTCCTATCTGTTTGCATTTACTGATTAACTTGGGATAGTTTATTTTAACCCTCCTAAAGATTCACGCCTAGTTTAATTCAACAGGTACCCTGAAAATTGGTTTCTGTCCAAAAACAGATTCCTATTCAACACTTCTAGAGTGTTTTAACGTATAAGGATTGCATGGCGATTCCCGCCCCCTCCCACAGACGGAATAAATAAAGACACAGGACACCAAAATTTAGGTTAATGGGCAAAAAATGGCCACAACTTTATTGATTACAGGTAAGAGCGGTATTGGCTTTATGCATTGGCCCTATCAGACTAACTGGCATAAAACCGGGAAGGGTTAAGCACCAACAGGGGGAGCCCCCGAGATGCACATCCCTAGGCGCTCCCCGAGGGGTTACCGCTCGGGAGCGCGCTTTAGGCCCTAGCCTCAATAGGTTTCAGACGAGGCGACGCCCCCCGGAGTCCTTTAATGAACTACCCTTCAACATTTGGGGGAGGTGATGGCGTTCCTCCCCCCCCCGCCAATGCCTAACCGCCAAAACCAAAGGTGTTGTGACGTTTTGCTACGAGGTAGGCGAAAAAACCAAGTGGCTTCCAAAATAATGCCAATTAGCCAAGTGGAAAAACTCCTACCAGGCCCCTTGCGGCGACCAGCCAAAGCCCATAGCAAAGTCCAAATGACAACCTAGAGGGTGGGTGGGTGGGAAACCGCAGCTGGCTGTAAGAAAAGAAAGGGGCGAGCACGGGCTGCCCCGACCTTAAATGCCCTAAGGAATCCCGGGATTCCCCAAGTCCCGCGGGGCTGCAGCCAGCCCCGCGAGGATGTAGATGGGGCGTGAGCCCGCAACCCCCCCTCCTTATGTCGGGAGTGGCTTTCTGAAAATAACTAGCATATTTTTTTTGCAGCTAATCAGAAAACTGACAGAGACCAGCCTACACTTCCACTGCATTTTGTGATTTTTGTGTGAAGTGGGATATCTTTTTATCACATTTGGCTAATTCCTATCTTTCTCCTATGCTAGATTTTAATCTACTCTTTGATCTCGACACTGAAATATCTCTTAATGCATAGAACTATGCCTTTCTATGCTGCTCACATTTTGCTCCCATACAGAATTCAAGGATATAATTTCAGAAGGAAATCAACATGCTGATTCTGCTCTGAAATCCTTCTGTCCATTACCGTATTTTTCGTTCTATAGGACGCACCGGTCCATAGGACGCACCTCGTTTTTTTTGGGGGGGGAATGAATAAAAAAAATTATTCCCCCCCCCCGCGGCTGCCGCCCCAAGCCTCGCGTGCTTCGGGCTGCAGGCTACCGCCCCAAGCCTCGCGCGCTCAGCGGGACCTCCCACCGGGCGCGCGAGGCTTGCAGACACTCGCCCGAAGCACGGGGAGCCCTCCGGAGGGCTCCCCGAGCTTCGGGCGACAAGCTGCAGCCCCAAGCCTTGCGCGCGGGCGGGACCTCCCGCCGGGCGCGCAAGGCTTGCAGACACTCGCCCGAAGCACGGGAGCCCTCCGGAGGGCTCCCGTGCTTCGGGCGACAGCTGCAGCCCCAGCCTTGCGCGCCGGGCGGGACCTCCCGCCGGGCGCGCAAGGCTTGCAGACACTCGCCCGAGCACGGGAGCCCTCCGGAGGGCTCCCCGTGCTTCGGGCGACAGGCTGCAGCCCCAAGCCTTGCGCGCCGGGCGGGACCTCCCGCCGGGCGCGCAAGGCTTGCAGACACTCGCCCGAAGCACGGGAGCCCTCCGGAGGGCTCCCGTGCTTCGGGCGACAGGCTGCAGCCCCAAGCCTTGCGCGCCGGGCGGGACCTCCCGCCGGGCGCGCAAGGCTTGCAGACACTCGCCCGAAGCACGGGAGCCCTCCGGAGGGCTCCCCGTGCTCGGGCGACAGGCTGCAGCCCCAAGCCTTGCGCGCCGGGCGGGACCTCCCGCCGGGCGCGCAAGGCTTGCAGACACTCGCCCGAGCACGGGAGCCCTCCGGAGGGCTCCCCGTGCTTCGGGCGACAGGCTGCAGCCCCAGCCTTGCGCGCCGGGCGGGACCTCCCGCCGGGCGCGCAAGGCTTGCAGACACTCGCCCGAGCACGGGAGCCCTCCGGAGGGCTCCCCGTGCTTCGGGCGACAGGCTGCAGCCCCAAGCCTTGCGCGCCGGGCGGGACCTCCCGCCGGGCGCGCAAGGCTTGCAGACACTCGCCCGAGCACGGGAGCCCTCCGGAGGGCTCCCGTGCTTCGGGCGACAGGCTGCAGCCCCAAGCCTTGCGCGCCGGGCGGGACCTCCGCCGGGCGCGCAAGGCTTGCAGACACTCGCCCGAAGCACGGGAGCCCTCCGGAGGGCTCCCCGTGCTTCGGGCGACAGGCTGCAGCCCCAAGCCTTGGGCGCCGGGCGGGACCTCCTGCCGGGCGCGCAAGGCTTGCAGACACTCGCCCGAAGCACGGGAGCCCTCCGGAGGGCTCCCCGTGCTTCGGGCGACAGGCTGCCGCCCCAAGCCTTGCGCGCCGGGCGGGACCTCCTGCCGGGCGCGCAAGGCTTGCAGACACTCGCCCGAAGCACGGGAGCCCTCCGGAGGGCTCCCCGTGCTTCGGGCGACAGGCTGCTGCCCCAAGCCTCGCGCGCCGGCGGGACCTCCTGCCGGGCGCGCAAGGCTTGCGGACACTCGCCGGGGCTGCAGGCTGCTGCCTGCAAGCCTTGTGAGCCCGCGGGAACTCCCACCGGGCTTGCAAGGCTTGCGGATAGCTTCCTGAAGCCTGGAGAGCGAGAGGGGTCGGTGCGCACCGATGCCTCTCGCTCTCCAGGCTTCAGCGAAAGCCTGCATTCGCTCCATAGGACGCACACACATTTCCCCTTCATTTTTGGAGGGGAAAAAGTGCGTCCTATGGAGCGAAAAATACGGTATTTTCTAATCCAATTGACAGCCATGCATTTTTACACCAGGGAGCTAAACAGCTGATTTTAAACTATTTTTTCATTCCTCAGACACAAGCTAAGGATATTGTTGATGGATGTCCTTCCTGCGCTTTAACTTCTGTTAACTTTACCTTAAATTAACTGTTTCCTTTCCTAATAAGTTTTTTCCTATGGATCGCCATTGTAGGGAAGAGGTACCTCTGGAATGACCTCTGGAATGCCCTCTAGTGATGTACCAGCAGCTCCCCAACCCAAAGTGAGAGGAACCTGTTCCTTTGCTTACCTAGGGGCAGGGATGCCCTACTGTTCTTACTTTCTCAGGTCCTGTGTGGATTCCAGGTCACTGTATCCATCCCTATTGGCCAAGACATGAGCTGGCACCAAGGCCTGCAGAATCCCCTTCCAGACTTTGCAAGGACCATGACCCTGACTCCGCATCTACAGGCTCAGCAGCCCCTTGCGAAAGTCCATTGCACCCATCCTCATCCTTGAAAGGCTGAGGGATGCCCGGAGGTGACATGGGAATGCTGAAGACCTTGACCTCTGATGCCAAGACACAATTTCAGCATTATGATGTTCCAACGGAATCAGAGATCTTTTTAGTAG